TCTTTTTACAAGAGGTCTAAATTCACCTCTGACAGATGTTGACAACAAACCTGATTCTGAGGGGGGCCTCAAATCCAGTCCTTCTGACAACACCAAAACGACCCAGCAATTGGCTGCAAATGGGTACCAAAGGTGAGCAAATTAGGCCATCTGTGTTCCTTCAGTACCTGAAACTAGGGGATAGTCACTATCAATTCTGAGGAAGGCGATGGTGAGAGTATGAATATATCAGAGCAGAAACAGAGGAATGGGGGACAGGGAGAGGACATAAAATAGTAAAAGATGAGGACTACAAAAGACATAAAACCAGAAAAGAAATATGGGAGTGTTGGCTCACAGCCTCCACATAAGATTCCAATGAATTGGGGTTACCCCCCAAAATAGACTGGTGAAGGAAAGGAGCCAATTTAAGGTCATGTAGATATGAGGCAGGCAAATGCACCTGAGATAGTAGGGCATCCCTGCCTTATAGCTCACAACAACAAAGCAACCACATATGGAGTGACAAAACTGAAGATAAATGCACCAATTTAAAAATGACAAGAGAACGAGTTTCCCCCCAAAATCTCCCAGGTGAATGGTGGATAGACGATAGATAACATAGTAGAGTAGGAAGAATGAGACAAAGGCATGACAATTGGGCTGGGGAAAGGTGAAGAGAAAGGACCTGATCCCTATGCCTGAATAAGATACTTCAATGTCTAAGAGTAAAGAAAGAGGAAATCAGCTCATTGGTAGGCCAAGGCATGTGTGTCCTCCAAATGAGGAGGATGAGGCATGCTGGCCCCAGCACAAAGGTGAGAGAAAAACTGCATTGACCTGAATATCTGGGGAAGGGGAAAAGAATCAGAAGCCAGTTCAGAATGGAGCAAGGAAGAGGAATAATCATAAGACACAGAAGAAAGTGATGAAAGATAAAACCTGAGATACCATAACCAAGAAGGGCAAGGAAGGAGAAGGTAGATCAATGGCAGTGGTTGAGAAGGTACAGCAAAAGCAGGTGGAGGGAGCAGGCTGTTAAAATCATCATCCTCTTGAATGGGGTCACCAGGGAAAGAAATATCTGTCCCCTAGTCAGAAGACAGACCAGGCTGCATGAATGATTCCAACTCCCAATGCACTATAGCTGACACCTCCTTCAAAGACAGAGAAGACCCCAATACCACAGTAGTAATCAGTCTAGCGGGATCAAGAATATGTGGTTCCTCACCAGGTGAAGTAACAGTAATAAGAACTTGCGAGTCCATAATGTAGAAAAACAACAGAAAAATAGTCGTCAAAAAGTAAAATATTAATTACTGGCATGAGCTCTACATGTCTACATATGTGAGTGTTAAATCAAGAAGTGATGATTGAAGAATCAGTATAGATGGAGTCAGCTAGCTGCACTAGGAGGGTGCATCATACTTTTATTGGTGGAGGGTTGTCACATGCTCTTTTGCATGCTACAGCACAGAAATACTACATTGAAACATGTGAGCTTCAAGGTAGTGGTGTGCAAAACATTTCACATACAGAGAACAGCACAAAATCACATAATACATGAGTTAACATTTTCCTTACTAAAAAATGTATTTCTGATAGATACCCCTGCACACAATAGCTATTCCTCGTATATCTGCCTTTGAGATTTTGCACATGACACTAGCCTTGAGTTATCTCTCATCTAAGATATGTGTTATAACAGGAACTGCTATAGCACATGATGTAATCCACCAATAGGAAGGAAACACATCTTCCATGCACAGTAGGTTCCCATAAACACTTGCACCAGAAGTAGGGAGGGAGAGTAGGAAGGTGTGTAGAAAAGAAAGTATCTATTGGAAATACATATTCAGGTAAAGAAACTGTTAACTTCTGATATTATATTCTTACCTGTTTGCACACAGTAGCTAGGATTCTATATTCGTGCCATTGAGGGGGTCAGCACAATTATGAAAACTTAGATGGGATCCCTATGGAGAAGGCAACTTAAGGAGGAAAGCCCATGGAGTGTGAAACTCTGTAGTGGAGGCTTACCTGAGGGGTAACACTCATGGGAGGCTGCATCCATCTCATGCAGGGTATACTCTTCACCCAGGTGAAAGTATGAAAAAAGGGAGGCAGAATGAGCTAATGTGTCACAGGAATGGGTAGAAAAAAATACTTAGCACTAGTTCACTGATCAGACCACTTGGTTTGGTATGTGTTCTGTTGTACAATTTACTCATCTTACATACATGAACATGGACTAAGTCCCTTCCTGTTGCATGAGTAAAACACTTTGCCCCATCCCTCTGGGCAAACCACTAGGACATTAGCATATTATGTAATAGGGATGACCTAAACTACACTGACATGGACACCTCTGCCATACTTCCCATACCTTGTGCTGTCCTCTCGGATTATCTCCAGAAGGATCACATAAATAGTGAGGACCTATCCCAGTGAACCACCCCAGTGGCTAGGAACTGGTAGTGATAGAGCTCTCCCATGCCCAACTCAATGACTGGGAGGTTTGCATTGGGGAGACACCAGAGAAATGCATGGACCTGATTGGACCCAACCACTGCAAAGGTCTTTTATTGGAGAAAATGCAATGGTTTACTGCAAAACCTAATTTGAAAAGCCAGTAAGGACGAGCCAGAGAAATGAGCATACACTCCCTCAGTGCTAACTTTTTCCATGATAGTCCATAGAGCGTACAATCTGGAATGAATATTGAAATATATATATATATATATGTAGACACACACACATACACCATCATAAACACATTTTTCTAAGTCATTTATGTACCAAACAGCTTGTAGGTTCATGATTTTGTTGGTTACAGGGTTCCTAAAAGACACAAGCAAATAAAATTGAAAATATCAATATTACAATTATTCTTAATAATTACTGTGGTGGTCTCCCCTATGTATTTTTTACATAAAAAATGAGTGACTTTGCCCAAATTTGTTTGATCAGTTCTTTACACTGAGTGTTGCAGCAAGTTACTCTATATAATGCAATAGATGGACCCATTGGTAGTGAACAGTACTATTTAGGCTTTGCATACAAATTAGGCTACTATTCTAAGTTTAAAATTGGGTTCAGTTTGAAAGACTTTAAATCAAGCAAAAAACTATAAGATAGTGTTCAATTACTGCGTTTAACCTTAAAAAAATAATTCTGACTCTCTTTATATAATGCATTATACAAATTACTTAGGTCCACTCTATCAATAATGTTATCATAATGTTATTTATATCCAATTTATAAAGGCCCACATACATATTCTTGCCATATTAAAAAAAATTCTAAACACTTTAGACAAAAACTGAGTTAGGAATGTGTCAATTAAACAATTGATAATTGGGTAATTAATTGAAAGAAACACAATTATAGACTTTGACTCTTAGTATATGAAAGTTTTTTATCTGAACATAAGAAACGAAAAGCCGAGTACAGCTTTACCATTATGCAGAGCTTACCAAATGCCTAGTATCAGGACAACTTGTCAAGACAATTAATGAGTTAATCTATTACTTGACTATAACATCACCGGCATAAACACCATTGATAGATTGGACAAACAGCTGGCAAATGGCCTTAATTAGAGTAAACGTAAGATAATACATTTGGATTGTCATAATTTGAGTCACATATTTAAGGCAAATGGGAAGTCACTCAGTAGTGTGACTGAAACAATATCTTGGCATAGTTGTGGATAAGTCATTCAAACCATCAAAGCAGTGCTCCATTGCTAATAGTATAGCTAATATCATTTTTTGAATTTACTTAAAAACATTAACTACCAGTCAAAAACAGATAATTTTTTATTGATACAAATTGCTAGTCAGGCCTCATTTGGAATAGTGTGTGTAGTTTTGATCTCCTTATCTAAAGAAATATGTTGACCTGGGATATTTATTTTCAAAATATGATTTTGCCGGTGCATTTAAAGTATAAAGATGTGAGATTGACATATCCACTAAAAATATGTGGGGATTTTTTTAACTAGCTGCATTATCAAGTTTATTATTTTGTCTTCAGCCTATAAAATTACAAAAAGTGAACACAATGCCAGTCATAATGCAACTCTAATGGCTATGTTTACATCATTATTGCTGTGCATGTGCAGACAGTGAAATTGTTAATTGAAGGATATTACCAATCACAGTAGCAATTTACTTCCTGACCTTGTTATTAGTAGTGAATAATATGATTTTGACACTCTTATCTAATCCATAACAAAATGAGAAAAAATAGTAAATATTTATGACTCTATAACATTAGGTTACATTAGAAGTAATAAATTAGACCTAGTTTATGCACAAATTATGATTTTTGTAACAAATGGTAGAGGACATGGTGTTTATGAGATACTAACCAACCACTGGTAGTTATGGCAATAGTAGGTTGTGTTCAAGACTAAAGAATACCAAGTCCAAATTACATCATTGTTCAGGTGTTGCAGTAATGCTGTAAATATAGCCACTGAACTCCCATTGCAACTGAGTTACAGACACAGTTGTTACTGTTAGCGTTAAAAGTTGAACGTAAAACCCAAATATACTACCACTGCATCAAAACCTAAGACTAATAAAATAAGAACATAATATTTGGTTTAAATTTCATGTTTGCATCAAAAGTATATGCTATACAGAATAAAGTGTTTCATTGATATTGTTTCAGCCCAGACTATTTTGCTTTTGGAAAACTGGATTTTGACCTCAATAAACTGTGTCCAACTCTAAAAGTTTAATCTACCATTACCAATGTAAACTTCTACTAGTACTACTCTAATTTCTAACACCATACAAGTATTACTATTACTATTAGTACTACTGCTATTAGACTACAGTCTAGTATTTTCACTCTCAGTATGTCTAGTTGATTCTTATCGCTCTTAGGAGTGTGAATTGACTATAAGTTGCAAAAATTTAAACAGCACAAGTATTACGTAAGTAATATTTTAGTAAGCCTACTTAAAACTTTTTTTAAACATTTAAGATTTAGCCTACTTTAGTACTTACCTCTTTCGTAATCCAGCTGTACATTTTCTTCGTCGCTGTCATAGCGTTCTAGTTTCATAGAAACAAGAAAAAGAATAACAATAAATCCAAATAATACTTCAAAAAAGGTAAATATGAGGAACAATAATAAATACTTTAAAATAAAACAAATTACTCACTTCGTAACGATCGAATCCCTCTAATATTCCGACTGCGGTACATGAACGACGCCATGTCGGAAAAGGATGTTATTAACGAGGGCGCTGATATAAAATTTAAAAATTAAAATATTTTTGTATTTTTATGTTAGTTTCAGAATTTTCTTTTTAAGTTTTGATGTGTGTGACAGGACAGATTTATTTGTTTGTTTGTCTATCTGCACAAACGTTCAAGATGAAATACATAAGTCTGCATTTCAAAAAGATTATTTAAAAGAAATATGTTTTTTAGTAGAACAAGGTATAAATTGCTCTAACTTCACAAATAATGTTTAAAAAATTAAGGTGAAATCCGGCAATAATAAACGAATGAGAACAATGTGACGTAGTTGTAATTCAATTTCTATTACATGTATATATATATCACTGTTTTTGAGGAAGTTAATAATAGGCTGCCACTATTTATTGCTCCCCAGTGGCACAGCGGTGTGTCTGCGGACTTACAACGCTAAAAACCGGGTTTCGATACCCGTGGTGGGCAGAGCACAGATAGCCCCTGTGTAGCTTTGTGCATAATTACAAACAAACACTATTTATTTCACTAAAATTGAAAGTAAAATATCAAACAATGAATAATCACACAGTGTTGCTGCTGAATTTCAATATATTTTTTCACTAATAAATAGCTCCCAGTGGCACAGCGGTATGTCTGCGGACTTACAACGCTAGAATCCGGGTTTCGATACCCGTGGTGGGCAGAACACAGATAGCCCATTGTGTAGCTTTGGGCTTAATTACAAACAAATAAACACTAATAAATAAATGTGCAACAAAGTTTCAGATATGAATCTTTTGAAATTCAGACAAACTTAGGTAATATGCCTTTTTAAAACATAGAAGAAAATGATAGATCTTCACTTGAGAGGAGAAAACCTCAATCTGTCTCTCGCTTCACGAAAATACAAAATGTGTAATACACTTGGTGAGAAGAGTAACATAATAATTTAACATTATTTATTAAATGAATTAACTTACATAATTTTTTTGTTGTTAAAGAAGTCTCAAGAATTGTTTAACAATAAAGCGGGGGATTGTTTTGGTTGCTGTTAGGTGTAAAAATTATAGATCCTTACTTCAGAGGAGAAAAACCTCAATCTGTCTCTTGCTTCACGAAAATACAAGATGTGTAATACACTTGGTGAGAAGAGCAACATAATAATTTAACATTATTTATTAAATGAATTAACTTACATAAATTTTTTGTTGTTAAAGAAGTCTCAAGAATTGTTTAACAATAAAGCGGAAATTGTTTTGGTTGTTGTTAAGTATAAAGCTACAAAATGGGCTATCTGTACTCTGTTAATCACGAGTTTTAGCGTTGTAAGCCTGTAAGACATACTGCTGACCCTCTGGAGGCAAAGGGAAGGAAAAGCTATATAATATCACAATACAATAAATTGTCTGTCCCTTCCATCAGATAAAAGGGATCTACCTACCAGCTTTCCTGTCACGTAGACACTATGTGTGCTTGCCATTTTACACTTAGCTGTTGGGACTTTCACGATGGGGTTTGGTGGGTATCCCTCAACACCAACCACTACTGGTCTCCCAGAGGCTGACTTATTGGAAGTATTCTTCTTACACTGGCTCCTCATATGTCCCTGCTCTCCACAGTTCCAACAACCTTTCTGGGTAGCAGCCTTTCCTACTGTGGCATCTTCCCTGTGTTGAAGTTGCCAGCATTGAGCTCTCTTGTGCCCAGGTTTGTTACAGTGCCAGCAAAGTCCCTTAAACCTCTCTGAAAGCTGACCTTTTCTGGCCTTGAATCCTGATGACTGTACCAACCTTGGTACCTCTGTGCTGGACTTAACATAGGATTCGAATTCAAGAGCTCTGGCCATTGCATCCTGCATAGTAGAGAGGTGCTTCCTTTACTTGTATCTTCAGTTGTGGACTGTCCAAGGCGTCTACAAACTGATCCCTCAGCAACAACTTGAGGAGATCGGGTGGTGCAGTCGGGTAGGCCTTGTGTGCCATACTTTCCAAATTCTGTGCCAGCTCTTGCAGGCTCTCCCCTTTAGCACGGACTCTCGTCCTAAACCTAACCCTGTAGACTTCAGACTGATTTTGGGTTCTGTACCTGAGTTCCAGAGCCTCTACCAGTGCTCTATCCTTGTGTCTGTCGGATTCTGTCAACTGTCCAAGTATTTCTAGTGGTTGTC